GAACACTCCCATTTCAACTGTGAGAATTATCAACTGAATTTTGGTTAGTGAGTTTGGGATATAGGAAGGCCCCTGAGAGGGCTTGTGCTGAGCCTGCCCTAAGGTAGACTGTGGGGTGCCATGGCAGTGGAATGGCTAGCATTTTTGAGGGGGAAATTCTGAGAAAACAGTTTCTGACTAATGAGTTAACACGTTGGTGGGTAGTAACAGAAGTGTGAGGTGCATGCCCTGTTCTGGGCACTGTTTGTACTTGACCTGCAAGACTAATGGGCAAGAAACAACCAGTAGAATGTAGCCTGTGACCAAGTTTAATGATGAGTTCTAGGAATTCACACACAGGTCATGTTCATAAGAACTAAAGTCTTCGTGGGCAGTAATGCTGGAGTTGGGTATTCAAGGAGAGAAGGTGAGGTTGTGAGGTGAAGACATTTAAAGACATAGTGACCGTCTTAGTGACATAAAGCCAGTGACACTGGCTAGTCTAGAAGCAAGAGGATTTGCTAAGGAGAAATATTTTTAACCCTGAGGAGGTGTTAAAACCATCTTTCCCAATCCCTCATTTTACATATGGTGAACGCTTGGAGGTAAAAGGCCAAGAGACTGATGGCATAAAGTAAGCTATTGTGAGCCTGGATGTGGAAAGCCTTGAAAGGTGCTAGGGTGCTTGTGAGATCAAAATGTGTGGTGTGGCTTTTTAGGAGGAATTTAATTTAGGGGCATGAACCCTGTGTTACACCTGTGGTGTTCCTGAGAAGCCAGCATTGTGATCCTTGCTACTGAAAAAATAATTCTCAGTATTCACTCTTGGTTTCTGAGTCTTCTTGTTCTCTCCCCACCCCCATACACACCTTCTGTATACATCTATATATTAATGCTAGGTAAGGATCAAGTATTATCTTTCCCAGGGATATTTGCATTCTTAAAAGTTCCAGAGAAAATAATGCCTTTGAAAACTAGAGTGTCAGGGACACCTGTGTGGCTCAGTAGGTTGAGCATCTGACTCTTGATTTCGGCTCAGGTGATGATCCCAGGGTTGTGGAATCAAGCCCAGAATCAGGCTCCTTGCTCAGTGCTTGCGCTCTCTCTCTCTCTCTCTCTCTCTCTCTCTCTCTCTCTCTCTCTCTCTGTCTCTCTCCTCCTCTCCCCACTCATGCTCGCTCACTCTCTCTCAAAAAAAAAATAAGTTTCAGACCTCAGTGACTTCAAATGAAGGAGCTTTTCTTGTGCCCCTAAAGTCAGGGTATAGAAGAGAAGCAGATTGGAAGGTGGAGGGACCAGAGGTCTAAGAAGAGGATATTGTACATCTGGCGCTTAGTAGACACTCATATTTGTTAATGAATTAAACTTTTTTGTGGACAAATGAAACTTTTTAGTGAATGAGTGAATCGATGAATAAGACTCAGAGGTACAGGGTGCTTACAGAGAGAAGAAAAAGGGATGAAAATAGAACCTTTAAAGGAGTGAATATGACTTGATGACTATGTGATCCTAAGACATGAGGAGAGAGAGCATAAAAAAAATTGGAGATACAAAATCTTGTTGCTTGGGAGAGTATCCTGATGAAACCAGGAAACTGGGACAGTCCTGTGTTTAACATATGGGCACACAACTATCATTTTTAAGTCAGTGCTTGGAAATCTTCAGTTCACCTGTTTATAAGTTACTTACACGAGTTGCTGTCTTTCTCTCTGCTTCTTCTCCCTAAATTCCTGTTTAACTTTTTCTCTCATTTCTGTATGCCTGGGAAAATGGGAAGGAAAGTGGGGCTCAGTATGAATTGTGGGCCCAGATATCTTATAAAAGGACCCAAAGAGGGGCGCCTGGGTGGCGCAGTCGGTTAAGCGTCCGACTTCAGCCAGGTCACGATCTCGCGGTCCGTGAGTTCGAGCCCCGCGTCGGGCTGTGGGCTGATGGCTCAGAGCCTGGAGCCTGTTTCCGATTCTGTGTCTCCCTCTCTCTCTGCCCCTTGCCCGTTCATACTCTGTCTCTCTCTGTCCCAAAAATAAATAAACGTTGAAAAAAAAAAATAAAAAAAAAAAAAAAAAGGACCCAAAGAATTCTTGTCCTTTCCTTATTCACGCTTACTCACTCTTACTCCCACTTAAATTTGTCACTTTAAATTTTCTTTAGGAAAACATTTCTTAAAAAAAAAAACAACAAAAACACCCACCTATCTATTGATCGATCGATAGATGCCTTTGTTTGAAAAATTATGCTTACAGTGACTTTCACTTTCTGCCTCCCTTTTGCACAGAACATGTCGCCCTTGGTAATGGATAGATAACAGGTTGACTTGCCTGCAGAAGGCATTCCTCCTTAACAGACCGGTTTGCTCTGATCCGTGTAAACACTCCTGCCTGCTGACCAGTGGTCTGTATTTATGAGGCATTTGGAAAACACTGCAAGCTGCAGAGAGTGACCATGAATAGCAAACTTAATTTGGTTTAATGTGTTTTGGCTTGCTTGACCTCACCAGAATAAAAATGTGCCTGTTTGAATTATTGTATTGGGAGTTAAAAAAAAAAAAATTCTACAGACATTTATCTCATTGGAAGAATCTTGGGATCACTTTAGCAAAGGTTTAAGTCCATGTTTAATGTCAGATAGACTTGAGAAATGTTTAATGTAGAGCTTTAATCACAGATCAGTTTATTGTGAGTTCTGAATTTTAAAAGCCTGAATTACTATTTTTTTTTCTTGCTACTTTTTTCCCCCTAGACGATTGGCTGGCAACGACCTCTCTTTTATCCACCCAAAGGCCTTGTCTGGGTTGAAAGAACTCAAAGTTCTGTAAGTAATGCAATTTTAGAGTTTCACAGCTGGCTGTGTATTTTCTTTCTGCATAGTCAACATGCTTGGAGCTAGGGTAAGCACAGTTTCTTTTAGTTCAGGATTAAAAGATTTAAGGAGTGGCCAATGGGTAGTGTGGGATGCAAGGGTTCATTTAGGCAAACTTGGGTCTAGATAACAAAAGTTAAAACTCTAAATAATAGGTGTTCTGACCTTCAGTGTATTACAGTTGAATGTATTAGGCTTTTGTTGGGCTAATGCACTGAATCAAAATCATATTTAAGCTTTACTGGTAGAGCTTTGTTTCTACTTATTGTATACCTTTGAGGACTTTGAATTAGCTGACCCTAAAGGGAAAAAGGCTAACAAAAGCTCAGAGTGTTAAAATCATTTTAAAGCCAAAAGGACTTAGGATGCCTATAATTTATATAGTCTGTTGAAGGACCAGGAAATGAATTCCTGGCATTGGTTAGGCATTTAGAGTATGGCAGATTGGGGAACAGATGAACTGACTGCCAACTCTACTTCTACCACTACCTTGCTGAGTAACTGTCTGTAAGTCACTAGACGTCTCTGGTTCAGTGAGTTACATGTACCTTTTACTATTCCATTCTGTGGTTGTGATTCATGTCAAGCGGTCATTGTATTAAGATGACTAGAAATGGCTTTAGGCAAAAGTAATAAGGACTTCATTTTCAGTACAGATCTATGCCTTTCTTCTCTGGGTCCTGTTAGATGGTTAAAGCTCTATTTTTGCTGTGGCCCTCCATTCACTGAGGACATGTCTGCTGCTCCCTAAGAACTTAGGGTCTGCTATCTTCTTGGAAAAACTGGCTCTACTGAGTGTCCATGTTTCTGGGCTCTGCTTTATTCCAAATTGAAAAGGCACTAGGGATTCCAATAGGTTTGTTTGTTATACCTCTCCCAGTTAACTTGTTATGCTTCCTAATTAACATTAAAAGAGTGATGAATGTTAATTAAGGTGCCTTAATTCTTGAGAATGAAACACCTCTGGAAATGTGGATTATCAGTAGGTCTGTGTTAAGAGATGGCTTGGGATAGTGGTTTAGGTTTCATTTCTGGCCTTATAGCAAAATGCTTCTTGCTTTTCCTGCAGTTCTCTTTTCTTGGCTGCTTTACACCTTGACCTTTCCTCCTTTCCTGCCATTAGAAATATTTTTTAGATAGAAATGGCTCTGAATTCTTCTAAGAAAAAATAGTAACAATTGCTTGTTATTCACTAACCAAAAATTTCCTTCCAGAACCCTGCAAAACAATCAGTTGAGAACAGTACCCAGTGAAGCCATTCGAGGACTGAGTGCTTTGCAGTCTTTGTAAGTAACTTTTTCGTTTTGTGCATTCTTGAATCATAAGTAGACCACTCGACTGCTAAGTGTGTAAAGAACTGGAATCCTAGCAAAAGGGGAAATTTATCCTCTCATCTGGGATAAAATTGGGGATAGCCAGGTGCTATTATCAAAATGCCATTTGGTGACAGAGAAGCAGGTGGATCAATTTACCCCCCCTCTTGTGTCAGATGCTGGGAGAAAGTTACAAGCATGCACTGCTGGGTCTAATTCCAGGAGCTTGTAAATGGCAGGTGATCATCACCTCTTTAGAACCAGAATTAGATGTGTACAGAAGTTCTGGTGTCTTGTGCCATGGTGGTCAAGAATCAGTCACAAAGAAGTTCCTGTTTTAGGTGGTAAGGATAATCAGTACAAACTGATTATAATTCCTCATCTGTGGACCTTGAACTCACACCTTGAACTTACACGGGGGGTGTAACTTCTTAGTCTCTTGTACTGCCTTCTTCTTCTTCCCAAGGTTTGTTTTTGTTGTTGTTGTTGTTGTTGTTGTTGTTGTTGTTTGAGGAAAGTTTGGTTTTATGTGGAGTGTTCAAGATTTCAACTCTTGGTTTTTACCATGTTCAAAAGCTTGGTTTTTATGAATTTCAAAGGCTTTCTCAAATAGCACTTCACTTTGTTCTTCTTTGCATTCTTTCCCATATGTATGTGTGTGTATATATATGAACCTGGAGAAAGGTAATCACTCCTTCCATTGTTTTGATACACATACCCCATACATCCCTTCCTCCTGTAGTGGGTGGATCAGGTAAGCAGCAGTGGTATCACAGGGACCATGCAAAATCCACAGAAGATTTTGAAGAAACAACCATTTTTATATTAAATACACATATTTGTTAATGACTACAATGAATGTTATAAACTAGTATTGTTGGGACTACAACTTTTCATCCTTTTCATCTTTGGGATCAGAAGATCAAGTTCCTCTGTCTCTAGGGGTACCTTAAAGGAAAAAAGTGAGAAGCACTGAGCTGATGTGTGTGGTTATTGCAATTCGCTTTTTGTCAAGATTAAGAAAATCCCTTTGCATATTTATCTGTCTGAATGTTTGCAATGCTCTCAAAAGAAATTCAGATTAATTAGAATTCTGAAACAGGCTTGTCTGGTTTGGGATCCCCACTTTGTCACTTGCTAGCTGTATAACGTTGTGCAAATTATTTAAAATTCTCCATAGAGTAATGTGCTCATTACTCGCCATGTATTTTAATGCATGAAAAGCACTTATAACAATATCTGACATGTGGTAAGTGTTCAATAAACATTTGTGGAATCTATTAACAGTAATAATGGTATGTTTTTATCAGTACTTTTTTCATTACTAGTTTACCCAATTTACATAACCAGGTGATGGAGATGTCTGAAAGTAATGAGAAAGTATTCTTCAAAACAGGGAACTTAATTTGCTGTTCTACTAGAGTGATGAATACCAATGTACATTGTTTTGCTCACGTCGTAACCCCAAAGACAGCGGGGAGAAGGCGTAGTTTATCAGAGTGTGGTCCTTTGTCCTCTTGGACCAGAAGCACAAGTGGGGAGATCACGAAAATGTAGACCCCTAGGCCGTATCCTGGAAGTAATGGTTTTTTCTCTTTAAAGGTAGGATCTAGGAAGCTATATTTTTTAAAAAAAGTTCCCCAGGTAATGCTCATGTACATGGAAGTTCTGAGAATCATTCTGAATAAAAACTCATAATAGTTATCACACTTCGCTATGTTCTGGGTCACAAAATTAGGTTTTAACCATATCATGTAGTTGTGTAATCTACAAATCTGTCCCATACGTTTTCTTTTTATTGCCCTTTGAAATAACTTCCAATGTACACTTTTGTAGCATATGCGTATAGTAGACTTGATTGAAAATAATTGAACTGCTTGTCTCATCTGTTTGCTGATATAAAACCATTTTTAACTACACCCAGACACATCACTGGAAATTGGAAATTGCAGATTACCTTTTGATGGGGATTAGACATTCTAGTAGTTATGAGAAATGAATGTGAAAATTTAAAAAATGTATAATAAAGCATATCATACTCTATAAAAGTTAAACTTTAAAATGTATCTAATGTCATAAAAAAGGAGTATCTGAGGTATTCATCATTCCATTTCTAGTTTCAATAGAAGTTGAAGGTAGAAATATATTAAATAGCTAATTTTGCCACAATGCCAAGTTTATGGAATATAGGATTTGTTATTTGCCATAAGTAATTGAGTAGACTCTGACTAGACTCTATCAGTGAACGGATTGGAATGAGTCCCTTCACAGATATGTGACTCACCTCTACAGACCTTCTGACCTTGGACAGATGTGCATGGAGGGAGCCATCTTATCTCCCTCAGACATTTGATTTATTTTTATTTTTATTAAAAAAAATTTTTTTTTATTCATTTTTGAGAAAGGGAGAAACAGAGCATTAGTTAGGGAGGGGCAGAGAGAGAGAGGGAGACACAGAATTCGAAGCAGGCTCCAGGCTCTGAGCTGGCAGCACAGACCCTGACATGGGGCTCGAACTACGAACTGTGAGATCATGACCTGAGCTGAAGTCAGACGCCTAACCAACTGAGCCACACAGGCACCCCCAGTAGACATTTTAAATAGTTGTTTTCTTTTACTTCTTCAGAATTCATTTTTTTTTAAGAACTGCATACAGCGTTGTTCTTATTTCCCAAGACTAAATGATCAAAATATTCCATCATTTTGTCTAGTTGGAAGGCTGAAAAAGACAAGGAACAGAAAAACTACGAAGAAAACATGCAGATAGATTGTGGTCCATAAGTGCAGTAAAGTCCACATGACATTTATTGATAATTTAGATGATTTAAAGTGTTTTTCACAGTAGGTTTCTCCCTCTAAAATAGTATTTTAAAGAAAGCATGGGGGCGCCTGGGTGGCGCAGTTGGTTAAGCGTCCGACTTCAGCCAGGTCACGATCTCGCGGTCCGTGAGTTCGAGCCCCGCGTCAGGCTCTGGGCTGATGGCTCGGAGCCTGGAGCCTGTTTCCGATTCTGTGTCTCCCTCTCTCTCTGCCCCTCCCCCGTTCATGCTCTGTCTCTCTCTGTCCCAAAAATAAATAAAAACGTTGAAAAAAAATTAAAAAAAAAAAAAAAAAAAAGAAAGCATGTTGTGCTCATCAGTCATTGAGTAATTGCATAGTTTAAATTATCTCCATAATTGGGATGGGGGTGGGGAGTGGAGAGGAGTCAAAGCAAACTATTTTCTTAAGAAAGGCATTGGGATGTTTTTATATGCATCAGAAACACAAGGAGATAAGCCTGTTTTACTTAAGAAGGAAATGTACATGGGTTTGTTAGCATAGTGGGTGTAGCATTCAAGGTAGATACTATTGAAATTCTGTCACGGTGTAAAACAGTCTTATCAGTGCTTGAGTTCAGTTTGCAAATCTGATCTTCAGACCTGAATTACATGAAAGGTTTCCTTGTGGTTTTGAAATAGTGCTTAGAAAGGAGCAAAGTTCGTTAGGGGTTGAAATTGACCAGAAGTGGTTTGGTACAAGTGTGTGAGGATGACTATAAAATCTGAAAGTGAATTGTCAATGTTAATATAAACGTAGCATAACAGTTTTCCACAAACCCATGGAAGTGGCTAAAGCGTTGTCCTAGCAAGCTATTAAATGACATGTCAGAATTTGCACCACCAGATTTTTTTGTCTTTAAATTATATCACACTTGGGAGCACCTGGCTGGCTTAGTTGGTTGAGCGTCCAACTTCAGCTCAGGTCATGATCTCATGGTTTGTGAGTTTGAGCCCCACATCAGGCTCTGCACTGACAGTTCAGAGCCTGGAGCCTGCTTCAGATTCTGTCTGTCTGTCTGTCTGTCTGTCTGTCTGTCTCTCTCTGCCCCTTGCGCCCCCCCCCCCCGCCTCCTTGCACACACTCGCTCTCTCTCGCTGTCTCTCAAAAATAAATAAACATTAAAAAAAATAAATTATATCACACTTGAATGGTAAAGGAGGATTTCAAAGACTGACTGAATTTCCTAGGTTTTCCACAGTAATTGCATCATCTTAACAATTTATACTTGAAACTGGCAATAAAATATAACACTATAATATATATGTTACTGGTAAGTTAGAAGTAGAGAGAAAAAGGGAAAGCTTTTGATTATAGAATAGATGTTGATAACAGACATTCATCAGTAAAATGTGCATATGGAATTATTATTGTAATTTCATTTAAGACAAAAAAGTATGTGAGTACTCAGTAAGATATAAAACAGGCTTTTGAGAATAGGGAATAGACACACATTTTAAAGACAAAAATAGTAAGGGAATTCAGTTAATAGAGTGTTAACCCTTTAACAACTAAAGTACACTTAAAGTAATAGTTCTCTCTTGATGGATTGAGTTTAAATGGTGAAATACCTTAAACAAACCCACACTTATCTCCCCACCTAGGAGATATCTGATGCTATTTATGCATCTACTGATTCAGTTATAGTATTTTCTTGGTCTCTTAGTTAGAATTAATATTAAATGTGTAAGTCCTTGGTACAAAGCCGTGATTCTAAGACAGTTTCTCTGTGAAACACTGATCTTGTTATAGGGGCAAACTCTTTACATTTGTGAGTGTGCTCCCAACATCCGCATGTGAATTGAGGTGTAAGGATTAATTACTGAGTCATCACAAATCCTTTGCCTCATTTAGCTTTATTTAAGTGTCCCATTTTTCCAGAGTTCTTCTTCCTTTTGACCTCTTTTTTTGTTTTTTTTTTTTTTTTAGAGAGAGAAAGAGAGCAAGCACTCCAGTACCTGTGAGCAGGGGAGGGACAGAGAGAGAGAATATCTTAACCAGGCTCCATGCCCAACGTGGAGCACATTGTGGGGTTCAATCTCACACCCTAAGTTAAGGCCATCTCTTTTCTTTGATGGTACATAGTACAGAATTCTGCAGGAGCATAAATGGTGTATATAACACTGAAATAATGTTAAAAAGGTACAGATAGCTTTCTCTATAGTATTTTGCCACATCTTAATGAAACCTTTTATAGAGAAGGCCTAATTTCAGTGCAGTGTTGTGTGTGTATATAGGGGAGCCTTTCTCATTATTTTATTGACTATGAATGCACATTATCATCAATATGATAACATAAGCAATTTAAACTTTTAAACTGCGCTAATGCTGAGAAACTGGGAAGGGACTTCAATTTGTACTTAAAATACATTCCAAACCCCTTACCTAGTTTACAAGGTCTACATAATCTGGTCCCCATTTGCATCCCCAGCTATGTCTCCCAGGACTCTCCACCTTCTTCCTGTGTTCTAATCACTCCTGACCTTCTGGGAGTTGCTGGGACCACATCCTGCTGGTTTCTGCTGAGTCTTTGCCCTCTGGATCTCAGTTTATATAGCACCTTGTTAGGGAAGCAAAAATAAGGTAAAAACAGACAGGGAGGGGCGCCTGGGTGGCGCAGTCGGTTAAGCGTCCGACTTCAGCCAGGTCACGATCTTGCAGCCCGTGAGTTCGAGCCCCGCGTCAGGCTCTGGGCTGATGGCTCGGAGCCTGGAGCCTGTTTCCCATTCTGTGTCTCCCTCTCTCTCTGCCCCTCCCCCGTTCATGCTCTGTCTCTCTCTGTCCCAAAAATAAATAAACGTTGAAAAAAAAAAATTAAAAAAAAAAAAAAAACCAGACAGGGAGACAAACCATGAGAGACTCTTAAATACCGAGAACAAACTGAGGGTTGCTGGAGGGGAGGGGAGGTGGATGGGGGATGGGCTAAATGGGTGGTGGGCATTAAGAAGGCACTTGTTGGGGTGAGCACTGGGTGTTTATGTGTAAGTGATGGATCACTAAATTCTACTCCTGAAATCATTATTACACTCTATGTTAACTAACTTGGATTTAAAAAAAAATAATAAAGAAGAAAAAGAAAGAAAAAAAATAACACCTTCTTAGAGATGCTTTTCCTAACCCATACATTTTAACTAACTTCCCTCCCCCTTAGTCTCTATTGTTAGTCTTTATCTTGGGACCCTGTTTAGTTGCTTCATAGCATTCTTAAGCACTTTATAATCACTTTTTAAAAAATATTTACTTGTTTTTGAGAGAGGCAGAGTGTGAACAGGGGAGGGGCAAAGAGAGAGGGACACACAGAATCTCAAACAGGCTCCAGGCTCTGAGCTGTCAGCACAGAGCCTGACCAACCTGGGGCTCGAACTCAGACAGGGTGAGACCATGACCTGGGCCAAAGTTGGACGCTTAACCGTCTGAGCCACCCAGGCGACCCTATAAACACTTTTAAAATGTATTATATTGTGGGTCACTCTTCATTAGAATGTCAGTCTCATGAGGACAGGTCTCATGTCTGTGTTCACCATTTTTATCTCTTTTGTGCCTAACAATATGCTCAGGTGTTAAATAAATAGCTATAATTAAATGGTTAATGCAATTAAATTCTACTTATAGTTAGTTACGTTATATGGTTGATTATATGTTTATATGTTCAGTGTCTCTTTCTCTAAGTGGAAGTTGTGCAAGGTTGTGAAGTGTGTGTGTGTGTGTGTGTGTGTGTGTGTGTGTGTGAGAGAGAGAGAGAGAGAGAGAGAGAGAGAGAGAGAGAGAATACTATCCACACATTAAAGCAAATCTCCTAAGCAGCTCCATGGCCAGGACTTTGGCAGTCTGTATTTAAAGGGTACCTGTTTCTTCTCAGAGGTAGGTGCTAGAAACTAAACAAGCCTAAAAATGTTTGTTTTTAAATTTTTTTTAATGTTTATTTTTGAGAGAGACAGAGCATGAGTGGGGGAGGGGCAGAGAGAGAGGGAGACACAGAATCCGAAGCAGGCTCCAGGCTCTGAGCTGTCAGCACAGAGCCTGACGCGTGGCTCAAATCCATGAGCCATGAGATCATGACCTGAGCCGAAGTCAGACGCTTAACCAACTGAACCACCCAGGGGCCAAAATGTTTGTTTCTTAAGGCAGCTGCCCAGTTCCCTGTGTTGTCCCCTTTTTTAGTGCTTATCTCGACTTTATCAAAAAGAAGCTACCATCAGATCCTTACCAGGATCAAGGGTCTTTAACCCCTGAGACTCGGACTGGGGCCGGTGTTTCAGAGCAGGGCTCAGCATTTGCCGGGAGGGGAAAGGGGCCACTAGGGCAGGCCCAAAGCTGGAGCAGCAGAAGGAAAGAGACAGATGCAAGCACTGCTCCAAAACTCAGAAATTCCTGACCTCGCCGACTGCCAAACTCCAGGGCTTTAAAAATATGCCGTCATTTTGACTTTTCACGTTTTTTGTGTTCTCTAATTTTCACCAGGAGGTCCATGCCTGGGAGGTATGAATTTCAGTAGTGAGGTTGCATCAACATGGGAATTGTGAAGAGGGTTGTCATTTGGCACATAACTGTCCTTTGTCATATTAACATCAGGGTGTCTTTGGGTTGGAACGTGCTTATTCCAACAATTAGGCCTGATTGTGCCAACAGTAACGTTAGGACATCATTTTCCAGATTTTTAGATGGGGACTTAATTTTTTTCTTAAATGTTTATTTATTTATTTTGAAAGAGAGAGGGAGAGCGAGAATCCCGAACAGGCTCCCTGCTGTCAGCACAGAGCCTGAGGCAGGTCTTGATCTCACAAACTGCAAGATCATGACGTGAGCTAAGTCCAGAATTAACAGTTATTAAGAAAAGAGCACAGTGTTCACAGGAAACATTAAATAGCTACTCTGATCAGTGTTATTGTAACCTTAAGCCTTCTTTTAAATTTTCCCCAAATTCTGGAATTAAAGACACCTTGCTAATAAGATGCCTTATACTCAAAATCGAGTCCCCATCAGGGGCGCCTGGGTTGCTCAGTTAGTTAAGCGTCTGACTCTTGATTTCAGTGCCAAGAGGCGGTTATTTGACTAGTACATGATACCTATAGTTTTAACTTGCCTGCTGGTAAGAAGGATTGTTAGAAGAATCCCTTGAAATGATTTGTTGCTGTAAACACTTTTCTTTTTTTGTAAATATTTCCTTATGTTTTCTCCTTTGGCATAAAGTTAAAATAGCAAATTTAATATCAGATTTTAGTTGTAATGTAAAATTTTAAGTACAGTAGCTTATTTACTCAGCTTAGTTTCTTCTTTTTTTTTTCTTTCTAGTTTTGATTTATATAGATTCTGAAACATAAACTTCGATCTAGCTTTGGCCTTTGGTGGGGGGGGGGTTCTTTCTTTTTTTCCAACATTGTTTTGCTATAAAGTCACTCTTAGCCAAAGATTCTTGAAAGATTGTTCTGTAGGAAGGGAAAGAACAGACTTCCACCGTATAGTCTTGGAAAATTGGTGGATTTTATGAGACTTTCTAGAGAAATTGAAGAAATAAGGAATGCCATGGCTCCGGCCGTTTTTGTAACTCCTTTCCGTTTTGAAAACGGAGAGCTGTGTGACTTGGCTCCTTCTGCTAGAATTCGTTCTTGAACGTGGTGGTTTCTGTTTCTGTCAGGCGTTTAGATGCCAACCATATTACCTCAGTCCCTGAGGACAGTTTCGAGGGGCTTGCTCAGTTACGACATCTGTGGCTGGATGACAACAGCTTGACCGAGGTGCCCGTGCATCCTCTCAGCAACCTGCCAACCCTGCAGGCACTGACCTTGGCCCTCAACAAAATCTCAAGCATCCCTGACTTTGCATTTACCAACCTTTCAAGCCTGGTAGTTCTGTAAGTATCCATCCCTTTTAATACCTTATGTCTGTGTGAATCTGGGAGCAAAAGCAGATTTCTCGTGACAGATTATTAGGAAAGTACCTCATTTTTTGTTACGCTTCTGAAGAGAGAGCATTTGGGGGAGCTGCCTCTTTTTGCAAAATTAAATGTGCTGACTTTTAAAAACACAAGCTAGGATAATTACAAAATTAACATCTGATAACTGTTGAACCTCTCTAAAATGTGTGGCCTTTTGTAATCATAACAAGAAATTGGGACATTCAGCAAATACTTGGACAGCTTTTACTTGTGTACCAGCAATGTATCGAGTGTTAAAAGAAGTAGAGTTGTTTTGAGATGATCACAGAAAATAAGTTTGAGTGATATTTCATGTTTTGAACATCTTATCTTTTCAAAGAATGTATCATTCTCTGTGTTTTTAATCTTTAAAAACTTGGACATAATAAAATGGCATTTCTTTTAAAAGCTGTTACTCGGGCGCACCTGGCTGGCTCAGTTGGTTAAGCTCTGACTTCAGCTCAGGTCATGATCTCACAGTTTGTGAGTTCAAGCCCCGCATTGGGCTCACTGCTGTCAGCTCAGAGTCCACTTTGGATCCTCTCTCTCTCTCTCTCTCTCTCTACCCCCGCCCCTCCCCCACTCACGCTCTCTCTCTGAAAAAATAAGTTCCAACTTTGGTTCAGGTCACAATCTTACGGGTTGTTTGTTCAAGCCCATCTCAGCACAGAGACTGGAGCTTGCTTCGGTTTCTGTGTCTGCCTGTCTCTCTCTGTCCCCCTGCTTGTGCTCTGTCTCTCAAAAGTAAATAAACATTTAAAAAAATTTTTTTTAAATAATAATAAAATTAAATCTGTTACTCATTCTCACTGGTGTAAGGTGAGACTCTTCCCTCCATGATGTTTTCCCCCACCTCCTTGCCAAGGGGAGCTCACCACAATTTTACTTCATATAATTAAAAGCTCATCAGAGCTTTTGTTCTGATATGGCTAAATATTAAAGAATCTTCAATGTGTGTACCATTTTCCCACTAGAGATACTTTCTTTTTGCATGTTCAGTGAATCCAAGTCTGTGCAGCGTATATCAAGAAATACACTATTTGTTTTCCATTAGTCAAGGGTTGCAATGTTTAGCCACACTCCTCCTTTAAGCCAATTTAGGTATATGAAACATTATAATAGTTGCTACTGGGTGATTTGAAAGTCATTGTGATGCTTTTTTCCGTAGACATCTTCATAACAATAAAATTAAAAACCTGGGTCAACACTGTTTCGATGGACTAGATAACCTGGAGACCTTGTAAGTTGATTCAGATTTCGGATGGTTATACTGTGATGTTGGTGATGCAATTTTGTATTTCATTGCAGGAGAAGGAAAAAATAATGGTCTTGAGTTCAGCTCACTATTAACTGACTTTAATACATGACTAAATTTTTGCCACCAAATAACATAGTTAGGAATACTAATCTCAGTTTATGGTTAAAGATGGCACACAAGTTTGAATTTGATATTTCTTTCAAAAGTACACATAAAAAAGCGGCTCAATCTGTCAGACTGTCTACTTTCTCAAAAATTTTGGGTCTGTTAAAATGTGCGACAGTTTTGGAACACCGAGCCTTATAAAATTAATTCTGAAAAATCAGCTTTTTTTGTTTGTTTTTTCCATGATCTCAGCTGCCTTACTAATTATTAACACTGGGTTTGAGTATTATCTCTGCTTTCTTAAATGCTAAATGAAATAAAGTTTTCCATTTTGCTTAGGATACTTTTGTTGTTCCTGCTAGTTAAAGTTTGGGAATTCTGGATGTTTCCACTGTACATTGCACCACTGTTTGAGCAAAAGACCTTGTGCAGCTATGCATAATCAAGAATAGGATTTTATTTTTGTTGTTTTAGTTTATTTTAGTTGTCTTTATTCAAAGATTTATAGTATTTGCTATTGTGGTGTAATAAATAATTCAGACAATGTCCCAATTAGGTTAGTAACATTTGATTGGAATGCTCAGGGCTTGTGATATTTTGTTTAACTGAATATTCTGGTTAGCCTAATTAGAAGACTTAAAATCTCTTAGTTCTTTATGAATCTACTTTCCTGTCTAAACAATGAAAGGATAGTGAACATCAGTGGACATTGGAAGGTGGAAGCTCTTGAAGAAGATAGTTCCAAGCTCAGTTCTCCTTTACTAAGTATGTAAATACCAGTGTAGCAGAGGACTGGATGGAACCGATCCTAGACCACATATACTCTTCCAATTACATTAAAATGAAACTTCTTCTTCCCAGCTAAATTCTTACTTGCCACTTTTCTTTCTGCGTAGAAAAAGAAAACAAAATAGGTCCCTAAAGAGCTGGACTTTTGATTTTGTGTTACTCTCATTCTAAAAACCATACTAATCCTACCCCATCATGCTCTTTAGGTTATAAAATAAATTAAAACTTAAACACTCAAATTAAGACTTTTTCTTACATGCCACTGTGGCTTTTCTTGCTCCTAATTAATGTAACATTTTCAACAATTTATAACCTGCTTCAGGATGCTAGTGGTGTGAACCCATCCTGGTGCTCGACCTTGTTCGTACTTATCTCAGGTCATCTGCCTGATAGTAGGGCCGAGGTCAGCTGCCCTCATGCCAGAGTTTCAGGAAGCCACTCTAAACCCCAAATGGAAACCGTGCTTTCAGGTTGTTGTCATTTATAAACGGATATTCCATAAATTCTGTTTTATGGTGAACTTCCTGAAGAATGCCATTCAAATGATTTGTTTATTTAGTGCACCAATAATAGGTGATTAAGAATTTCTTGATCTTTTAAAATTAACTTAAAACCATCATAGAAGAATTATGATTCTTTTTTCTATTCACTATTCTAAGAAAGGATATAAATTCAGTTGAGCTACAGAGTTTTAAATGGCACTATGGTCAGTGGGGAAAGATTACCATCCAGAGGATGTGATTTTTGTTAAGAATACATTTGTACCAAAATGCCTTATAAATTGTGACCGTTCTTCAGTGTTCTTATATATTTCCCCCATTTTTTCTAGGGACTTGAATTACAATAACTTGGGGGAATTTCCTCAGGCTGTTAAAGCCCTTCCTAGCCTAAAAGAACTGTGAGTATTGCTTTGCTCTCTCTGTGCGTGCCATAGCGTCCTTAGAACTCATCACTTCATGTTCCAAGAGTGTGATTTTAAAGCCTCTTTGCTCCACTGCACATACCATAATACCCAGACACACACAAACACATATATGATCATACAGACCAGATGGTCTCAGCGCAGACAGTGTGGAGCCTAGATTTCTATACCGAGCTTGTTTTGTCTGTACTAAGGTGTCTTCCAGAAACCATAACATACAGTCCCTGCCAGTTAAGAGCTTGCAGTCTCCATGGCACTGGGGAAGCTAACCATGTGAGACTTGCAGATAGCAGTTGCCAGGTAGAAATAAGTGCTAAATGCAGAGGCTAAGTAAATCATTCCAGAAAAAGACCTCATTGAGAATCAGGGTCATTAGAAAAGGCAGTGCTAAAGAGGAGGAATTTGACTGGAGTTAAAAGGATGGAGATAATAAAATAAATGAAAAGATGAGGGGGCATTTTAGATGTTGGATTTGTCAAGGGCAGAGACAGGAGTGTACATGGCATCACAGAGACCTGAGAGATAGCAGCTTTAAAAAGAATTCGGGGGGCGCCTGGGTGGCTCAGTCGGTTAAGCGTCCGATTTCAGCTCGGGTTACGATCTCGCAGTCCCTGGGTTCGAGCCCCGCGTTGGGCTCTGGGCTGACGGCTCGGAGCCTGGAGCCTGCTTCAGATTCTGTGTCTCCCTCTCTCTCTGACCCTCCCCCATTCATGCTGTCTCTCCCTGTCTCAAAAATAAATAAATGTTAAAAAAAAAAAAAATTTAAAAAAAAAAAAAAAAAAGAATTCGGTATGTTCCCGGAAAGGATGTGATGGAATAAAAAATTCGGTTTCCTCACATTTTTGAAATTTTCATGTAGTTGTTCTCAGCTGTGTTTCACATAACACTGAACAGGACTAGATACTCGAGTTTTAACTTATTTCACAAGGGGACATGTATTTCAAAAATATTTTTCTCCTACCTTTTTAGGTTATTTCATAGTAATTCTATTTCTGTTATCCCTGATGGAGCATTTGATGGTAACCCACTCTTAAGAACCATGTAAGTAGTTCTGAAGGCTTCTTTTAATATTTAATCATGTAAAGCATGTCTGTATGATGCCAGACATTTTGATGAAGAATGAGTGAAAATTCAGGATTTTAGATCTATGGACTTTGTGAACATAGGTTTAGTGTTGGAGGGCTTGTGAACATATGAAAACTTTACTTTTTTGCGGTATTTTTACAGACATTTGTATGATAATCCTCTGTCTTTTGTGGGAAACTCCGCATTTCACAATTTATCTGAACTGCATTCCTTGTAAGTATTACACAAATTCTAAAACAAGCCTGAATCTTTATGCAATTGCTTTAATGGAAAACTAGAATGTATTATTGTAGCTCCAGAAGACAAAACTCTCCCCCCCCTTCCCCCTACTCCTTTGGGTGAAAGTCCAAAGGGCAGTTCTGAAAATTGATGATGGTTCTTATTTATGTGAACTCTTGGCCAAATTATCACACTCTCAGGTACATTCAAGAATTGAAACTGATTTTATTTTTAGGTATAATAGTGCTGTTATCTTATTAATTTATTTATTTTAACGTTTATTTATTATTGAGAGAGAGAGAGAGAGAGAGAGAGAGAGAGAGACAGAGCATGAGCAGGAGAGGGTCAGAGACAGAGGGAGACAGAATCTGAAGCAGGCTCCAGGCTCTGAGCTGTCAGCACAAAGCCCAACACGGGGCTTGAACTCACAAACCGTGAGATCATGTCCTGAGCCAAAGTCTGACTCTTAACTGACTGAGCCACCCAGGCGCCCCAATAGTGCTGTAATTTTAAACTGTTCAAAAAAAATAAAATGAAAATATCGTGTATGAAAATTTCTTATTTTAAATTACTTTTTCTCTCCCAATTTCCTAGAGTCATTCGAGGCGCAAGCATGGTACAGCAGTTCCCCAATCTGACTGGAACCGTCCACCTGGAAAGTCTGTAAGTGCAGCTGTTTGAAGAAGGGTAGGGTAGAAATGACATGCTGGCCTGCTCTCAGGGTGCCAGTGGTTTTTGGGGTTGGGGATGATGATGGTGTTGATTCCTGCAGTATCTCTTTGGGCATATCATGCATGGATACGGATATATTGGGTTTGGGCTCAGTCACCTCAGGTAGAATAGAGCCTCATGTATGGAGATTAGATCCAAAAAGCTCACTGAAAATATGAGGCAGTAACTAAACGCCAAATTCCAAGCAGTGCTTTAGGAATTCAGAAGTGGAGCAGTTGATGTAGACTATCAGGGAAAGCGTTAGGGAGAAGGTATAGTTTCAAAATCGAATACTGTCAGGTTTTCAGAGCTGGGTCTTTTAATTAGAAAGGCAGGATTTAGCAAAAGGGGGAATACTGAAAATTTTCTCAGGGATGATGTAACAGACGTGCATATGTAACTAGAATTGCATGTCTATAATGGAATGCGGTGTGATATGGAGAAATTTGGAAAATCGTTTGGGTCACAGTTTTAAAATGGCAACCCTTGAACATTGAACATTTGGTCATGGCACAGCTTCCCAGTAAGTGGTCTGTGAATGGGGTACATACGCATCTAAGCCCTTTCTGACCTCAGCTCTCCAGACAGCGAAGAGGAGCCTGAGGCTGCTAAAGGCCTCCAGCCACAAGGAGCCTCACGTAAATGTTACGATTTTCCAATGTGCCAAAATAAAAGAAAAAAGAGGTTGGGAAGCACCGGGCTCGGGGTTAAACTTGACTTGTTAAGGTAGTTTGGATATATCGAGTATGTTGTATCAGGTGATATGAGGAGGGTAAGAGAGACTAGAATTGGGAAGAACCGCAAGGAGGCCATGGGTATAATCCCCTTGCTAAATGAGTGCATTTAACACCGCTGGCATTCCTCCATGTGGACTGAGATTCCTCCACCTCCATCTGCTTCATTTCACATGTGATTCGATAGTGCTAATAAAAATGAAGAGAGGGTCAGATGCTGGAGACACGAAAAAGGAAGGAAGCACAGGAATTGGGACTGACTGCAGATGGGAACATGGGAAGGGAGGGAGGAAGAGAACATTTCATTCATAACAGTGAGTCAGGTTGCCCGAAAACACAGAAACCAGGTTTGGGGGCAGGATGCCAAGGTAGCTTCGCATGTTTTGGGGGTGAGGTGGTGTTGCAGGTGATTGTAGTCAGGCGGGAACTATGGATAAGTGTTTTTCTGTTGGTCCACGTGAGAAATCAGGCTTGACGTCTGGACAATATAAACATCTCCTGTCACAAGCTTTTCTGCCTGACTATGAAAATGAGATCCGTAACAGAGGCTTAATCCATCTGAGGCCTAATCCATCTTCCCACATGCCTGATTTTAAGGAGTAAGTAGGCAGTGGGATACAGAGACTCTAGTTCATATGCAAATATGTGAAAAAAATGTTTCTTTTTCTATGCGAGAATAGCATTTTGTTTACCATCTGAACTTGAATGATTCCATTTCTTAGATGAACAATGTTTTCCACAGGACCTTGACAGGCACGAAGATAAGCAGCATATCCAGTAATTTGTGCCAAGAACAAAAGATGCTTAGGACTTTGTAAGTTGGGTCCCTCTTCCCTTCATATACTTTTTCTTTTATGTACTTCACGTATATTGAGTTTTATTTTGGGTCCGCTATTTTCATTAGCTGATTTTAAGGTAGAATTATGTCTTATTTGTTCCCTTTATGGAAATGAGCAGGTGTTTTAGTGACCCAAGGGTAGGTAACGTTTATTTCAATTTGGTTTTTAGGGTTATGTATATGTCATACGTCTTGTGACTTTGAACAAAGTAAAACCAGACTAGTCTCTTCCTTGTATTTTTCTTATCTGGGCTTTCTTGCCCTTAATTCTAGATGCCCTGGGACTGTCAGCTCTCCACCTCTTTCTGTTTTATCCAGAACTTAAGCAGAGCCCAAATCTTTCTTGGATCAGGAACCAATTAAGCATGGAGCTTTCCAAAAAATTTCAACTACCCTGGAAAGTAAGGAAGTAAAAATGTCATAAGAGCAAACAATTAAGTTACTAAGTTGTTAATAAGTATTCAGGGGAGAGAGATAGTAACAAAATAAGTGACTGATTGATTAAACAAATCATTAAATCATGTCACGGAATATCAAGCACAGTGATCACTATGGAGGAAGCACTGCAGTGGGATTAAGTGAGAGTTAACGAGTCCCTATATTTGGTTTAATATACATTTTTTTGAAAATGTGAGTTATGCATACCACTCCTCTTAAAGCTTTATAATTAACATAGAAATTATTTATGGTATAAACAAAATTATAAAAATATAAATTAAAAACCACATAAATCTACCACTTAGACATAATTTTGATATATTTTCCATAACTGTATATTTTATATGCTTAATGTTTTTAATAGTTTTATTTTAAAATTTTTAAAAATTTTTAAGTGTTTTTAATATATTTTATATTGTCTGTACTCAACATTATATACTTCAAGTTTGCAATCTTAAGCATGTTATATCACTCTAGAAACTTACAAGTCTTAGAAAAAAAAATAGATGATTTTCTTCAGGCATCTGTCTTTATTACAGATCTTAGTGCTGTTTTCAATACTGAGTACAGCTCTTTTAATTTAGTATTCTGATAACACAGAATTAATTTGTTAATTTTCATTGTTTTAAGGGACTTGTCTTACAACAATATAAAAGACCTTCCAAGCTTTAATGGTTGCCATGCTCTGGAAGAAATGTAAGTTGGTCTTGAACTTACTCTTTTTGCTGTGGCTTATGGTTGATTCATTGAACATTTCCTATTTTAAATAATGGCTTTACCATCAGGAAATTAGAAATATTAAAGAAATAAATGCATATAATCAGGTATCCCTGTGAATAAATGTCATATTGTACTAGTTGTGGCCATACAACCAGCATTTTTAGGTACTTACCAGGCATTCTATGAGACAGTACAGCGGGAGGGCTGTCTACACACACAAAAACAAACAAACAAACAAAAACTGTTCCTGGTTGTTGAGGGAAATCAAACCCAGATACCCACTGTGTACCTGTAAGTTTTGATGGAAGTTGGTTGGGAGATGGGGAGAGGAAGGCACTAATTCTCCCGTCACTGATCCCTTTCTTTACCTTTCCTGTAGCCTTCTCTCCATGGTACTTGGTATGGTTGTACTGTCTTGGGTCCTTTTTTACCATGTTGTCTTCCTGCTCCCCTGAATGGGGCTGATAAGGAATTTAGCTAGTGTACATTAACTCCCAGCATAAATTGGGATGGAATACCAATTATTCTAACCCTTTCATGTTATTGATGAGGAAATGGCAGTTCTCTTACTTTCAACAAAATCAAGGTTATTTATGAATGAGTATTTAAACTTAGACAAAGTTTAAGAAATGTTATCTTTCAAAATTGAAAATAATTTTTCTTTTTTCCTTCATTTTTTTTCCTTAGTTCTTTGCAACGTAATCAGATCCACCAAATAAAAGAAGGTACATTTCAAGGCCTGATATCTCTGAGGATTCTGTAAGTTTCTCTTTGATTATTAGAAACAACTAAAATTTTTGTCAAGTTATAAATTAATCTATCATTATAATTCCCATGATAGATATACTTAAAGATGTGATTTGTTATGTGTAAATGTTCAAATTTTACCACGTGGTACTTTATAAATGATCTAACTTTCAGTATTTTTTGCCTTAGCTGATTTATGCTGTTGTACGTTGGTAAGTGAAATGGTGTAATGTATACAACCTGAGAGATGGAGCTTGTTGGTTTCCTAGTCACAGTGATGAGGTTTGCCAATCCATTAGAGCAGCGGGTAGGCAAACTATAGCCTGTGGGCCGGGTCCAGCCTGCCTTCTGTTTTTGTAAATTAAGTTTTATTGGAACACAGCCATGCTCTTTTAAATGTTGTCTAACACTGCTTTAACCATACGATGGCAGAGTTGAAGAGTTGGAGTAGAGAATATATGACCTAGAGGTGAAAATATTTACTACTTGGCCCTCTACAGGAAAAATTTGCAGACCCTCACACTGGGGTATATATCATAACAAATATAGCTAATGTGCAACAGACGCACTCATTTGAAAAGTATATTTGTAGTTGAGTGTATATTTGTGCCAAGTTTTCCATTAAGCAGTTGGTGATATAGAGGTGGCTAAGACAGGCCTTGTCCCTGTATTTATAGAACATTAGTGCAGAAAACACAATATGCTAAAATAGTGAATATTTTTAAAATACAGAACAAATTTGAAAAATTGAAGGCGAAATTACATATATTGATTCCTGTCTTCCAATAGATTCCAGTAAGAAATAGAAAATAATTTCTACTACAAAGTATTTTATTAGACATTGGGATCTTTTCTTGTGGCTGACAGTCTTACTGTGTGTGGGTCTGGGCAGTAGCGAGGAAGGGATCTGGCTCCTAGCTGCAGTCACTTGTAGAGCACCGATAAGCGACAACAGTGAAAAGCTGGCCTTTTTTTTTATTCGAAATCAAGTTTGCCGAATTGTCCTGTTATCCGGGAGATGTCTTTAAATTTCCCTTAATGCTCAGTTTAAGTGTGGTTGCAGATTATTTGTTTTATTAATTCTGCGATATCAGAATTTCTCAGGGTGTGTTTCTGAATACAGTACAGCTCTGGTGTTGATATGATTTTTATTTCCTGCTTGGGAAAGAATGATATCTGAAGCCCTTCTGGAATGCTCTTGTTGACATATTGATTATTTGTCTTCCCTCAGGGCCTTATCACTGACCTTTGAGAAAGCAAATAGTATGAAACCTGTTTTTATTTTCAGCTTTGTCAGGAGCTGAGTTTTTCCTCACCTACTTAATAGTACCAAAGGTTATATCATATCATTTATATTTTTGAACTGGTACCAGAAGGATAAGGTGGAGAAAATTCACAACTGTTTTGAAACAGGTGCCAACTAGAATTATTGCTCCGTGGAACCCATTCCAAGAAATAGATTTTTGTGAAGGAGAAGAATTCAACATAAACATAGAGTTGTTGGGCGAGATTAATAAGATTTATTATCTTATCAGGGATACTGTGACTACCTCAAATACCAAAGTATAGTCAGAGTAACTGCAGTTTGAATTTATTTGAAAAGATTAACATGTTATTCTTATAATTGCAGAGATCTGAGTAGAAACCTGATCCATGAAATTCACAGCAGAGCTTTTGCCAAGCTTGGGTCAATAACTAACCTGTAAGTTGATGATTTTATGCAGTAATGTCCTGAAAGTAATAGTCTACAGAAACTTGTGTTTTGGCATTGTCCTATCAAAATATTTTTTTCTGTTTAGTTGCTCCCTTGTATAAATGCTAAAGCCACAGTGATATAGTGACACCTTCTAGGAAGGCAAGATGAATGCCAGAACTATTGTTTCGGCACGCCTGAACTTCCTCTTAGAGCTCTAGTATTTATGATGTTTACACATGTACAAAGGTTTTTGTGTAATTTGCATCTTCGGAGTTAATTTAAAGTCTCATTCACATTTTAGAGATGTAAGTTTCAACGAATTAACTTCATTTCCTACGGAAGGCCTGCATGGGCTAAATCAGCTGAAACTTGTTGGCAACTTCAAGCTACAAGAAGCCCTAGCAGCAAAAGATTTTGTTAATCTCAGGTGCGTTTTTGCTTATTTTTCTTTTTTGTTGGGGTTATGGTGCACCCCTAAAATATAGAGTAGGCTAGTTTTGGGCTGTGGTTCCCAGATTTTCTGGGAGGCCATAAGTTAAGAGTATTTTCTACCTCAGTCCTCACAAATTTGGTAAAAAAAAAAAAAAAAAGAACATGAGCATTATACCTTAGTTTTTGAGAACATGAATTTCCAGCCCTTGAGGCTATCAGGAGATAATGTAGCCATTCATCAGACTGGTTTTTTATACAGTAGATTTGTCATGAACAATGTGGGGAGAACCACATAAGTGTGAACGTACAGAAAATTGATACAGAGTGTAATACTTCATAGAGATATTTGATATAGTAGAGACAAGGCTTGGGGATATTACTGTGGGAGAAGAAAATAAATATTTTTATTACACTTATGTGAACAAAGTAAATTCACTTAATGGTGTAAAGTCGCAAATGATCTGGGACATTAATATGAAATGAAACTACCAGTATCCTATGATAAATTAAGCATGGTAAATTCACGTATAAAGGGAGTCTGATAAGATTTCACTTTAAATTGCGGTATTACTCCTAAATTGTAAATATGGTTTGTTTTAAATTCAGCTTTTAAAAGCACATCTTTTTTTTTTTTTTAAATTTTTTTTTTCAACGTTTTTATTTATTTTTGGGACAGAGAGAGACAGAGCATGAACGGGGGAGGGGCAGAGAGAGAGGGAGACACAGAATCGGAAACAGGCTCCAGGCTCCGAGCCATCAGCCCAGAGCCCGATGCGGGGCTCGAACTCACGGACCGCGAGATCGTGACCTGGCTGAAGTCGGACGCTTAACCGACTGCGCCACCCAGGCGCCCCTTAAAAGCACATCTTATATGAAAAGAGAAATTCATGGTGTCACCTACCCGAGTTCTTTTCGCAGATGAGGAAACTGAGGCCCAGAGAGGCTAATGACCAGTTTTTAAAGCATGTGACAGTCAGGTCTGACTCCTAGGGCACTTAAACATTGAAATACTTTTTACAAAACAAAAGCATGTCTGTGAAGTTGTTCTTCAATGTAGATTTTGCAATTTTCTCCAGGTCTTTATCAGTACCATATGCTTATCAGTGCTGTGCATTTTGGGGCTGTGACTCTTATGCACATTCAAACACGGAAGATACCAGCCTCCAGGACCACAGTGTGGCAAAGGATAAAGGCGAGTGCATGTACTTTTAAAATAGAATGTGCTTTATGGCATTAATTCAAGTCTCTGTTATTGTAATCATTTTTGAAGAATAAATAGGAAATATGTGAGAAAACGGCATAGACTGTGTTACTTGCATCTTTAGTATGTTATTAAGCCTCATGGAAGCTGAACTCAACTCATGTACAAGAGAGAAGATTGCAGGAAAGTATGGTTCTTTTGAACTGCATAAAACTGGAATTAAGCAGTTTACGTTATCTATTCAGGTCCCACGGGTGCAGCGGGGGTCACGAGCAGTGCAGAGAATGAAGAACACAGTCAAATAATTATCCACTGTACGCCCTCCACAGGTATGCCCAACACATTTTGCTGTAGTGTCTTGCTCTAAATAAACATTAGGCACATAGAACTAAAACTTGGGGGCGGGATGTGATTTTTTGTAACAGGAGTGGTGCTAGATGATCTCACAAGGCCTTCTGCCTCAAGCGGTGGTCTGCATACCAGGAGCTTAGGCGTCCCTTGCAGAATCTCTGTCCCAGACTTATTGACTCAGAGTCTTCGTGTTACCTAGTTCCCTGGAGGGTTATGCGCATGCAAAATCGAGAAGCACTTTCTGAATGCTTCTTTAACTCTAGCGACCAGTTCTAGGACTTACTGATCTGCAAGGATTTTTAGTGTAACCTTTTTTTTTTTAATGCAACTTTGATTTTCCTTTTCTTTCTACTTTATTTCATTGAACTTCAGTGGGCTTGGGAAAGTTACTAAAATGAGACCACATATTTGGTTGTGACCATAATGTTGGACTCTGCCTCATCTATCAGGGAAGATAGATTTGGAATTTTACTGTAAAAGAAAAAAAATAAATAATTGGCTAACTGGTGTGCTATGAAGTAGAATTTTTTTTTTTTTCCAACGTTTTTTTTTTATTTTTTATTTTTGGGACAGAGAGAGACAGAGCATGAACAGGGGAGGGGCAGAGAGAGAGGGAGACACAGAATCGGAAACAGGCTCCAGGCTCTGAGCCATCAGCCCAGAGCCCGACGCGGGGCTCGAACTCCCGGACCGCGAGATCGTGACCTGGCTGAAGTCGGACGCTTAACCGACTGCGCCACCCAGGCGCCCCTAGAATTTTTTTTAATATAATAACATGGGATGATCTGAATATTGAGTTTATAACTCAGAATCAAAAGTATTATGGACTTTCTAATGATGACTGCTGAATTGTGAGCTTTTTAAGGGGCTGTGTATGTATTCTTTTAATACTTAGCACAGTGCCTGTGTTGAGAATGAGCTTAAAGTGACCAGATGAGCAAATGGAATTGGCAAGAATCATTTCAGCATAGGCAGTGTATATTATCTAGGTTCTGAATTAATTGTTGGAAGTTAAGAGGGTGGAGCTTGCTCACTGGCCTGATTGGGGTTCTTGTATTAGAGAATGTGCATAAGGAACTGACAACCCAATGAGAAGGGAACAGCTTTGTTAAAGAGGAGACTAGACCTGAACAGGCAGGGATTCCATTTCCTCTACACTGAATTTAAACCTTAGTCAGGAAGAAAGTTGGTCTAAGATTCCTCCCCACTCCCCCCACTGCGGTAGAGTTACACTGCGGGCTTGACTCCCCACTCAGCTGTAGTAACACACAGACCCCCATGTGCTCACGCAGAATCAGGGAGTAGCAGAGAGTGGGATCCATCTGTTAGAACTGGAGGAGGCAGCCAGTTATCAGACAGTGACTGGGTGGAGCCTGCTTCCCAGGGGAGAGTATCTCCACCTACCAGACACTTCCAAAAGGAAGTCCTGTTCTCTCAGGTCAGATGAGCTACTCCTTCTTCCTTGAAGGAAGATGAGTTCAGATACAGGGATAAAGGTGGAAGCTTCCTCCTAACATTTCCTAAGGGTGTGGGGGGGGAGGATAAAAATTTTTTTAAGTTTCTTGTGATATTTGGAAGTCAGATAGATATAAATGTTGCTGAGCTGGCTTGTAAGGTCTGTGAATGTCTCAGCAATTTAAAATGTGGGATGTATCAAAGTTCATGACAGTTCAGAAAGATACATCAGAACATGTGTTTTAGGCAATTGTAATACATAGTTTTCTTGAGCTTCGTAAACAAAATTTAGTTTTCCTTTACTAATTTTAAAATAAAATAGTTGTCATTTGTGACATAACTAGCCCGTCAAAGTACATACAATTTAGTTACTAAATTAGTTCTTGCAATTCTAGTTTAAATTTCACAGGGTTTTATTGGATGTGGCTTTGTATGAATAGCTAACATCAGTGTGGTTTTGCCCTCACTCTATTTATTGTCTTATTGAATAACTTTTGTCAAGTCTATTGAACACTTTGACGTCTCAATTTCTCTGGATGGAAAGTGGGTATAATTATACCTATTTTAATCTGCTTCATCAGATTGCCCTTGAAAGCCACATATATACATGTACATACATACACATACATAATTTCTAAAAGCTGTATTGGGATTGGGAAGGAGGAAGAAAAGGACCTAGGGGCACCTGTGTGGCTCAGTTGCTTAAGCGGCTGACTTAAGCTCAGATCGTGATCTCACGGTTCCTGAGTTACCCCGGGTCCATTGCCTCCAGTCTGACAGCTCAGAGCCTGGAGCCTGCTTCAGATTCTGTGTCTCCTTCTCTCTCTGCCCCTCTCCCGCTTGTGCTGTTTCTCTCTCTCTCAGAAATAAATAAATATTAAAAAAAGAAAGAAAGAAAAGAAAAGGACCTAGTATTTATAGAAGTCCACCTCTGTACCTAGTAACTTTCTTGCATATCTCATGGATGTAATTTTATTTAAGTTACACAATGCTATAAAATAGGCATTATTGTCCACAAGTGAGAAAATGAAATTTATAGAGGTTTAAGTTGCTTTCTTAAGGAAGAGTAGCAAGTTATGAACCCCATATTAAAGCCCTAGTTTATCTAATTCCAAGCCTTCAGTGTATCAAGTACTTATCATATATGAGGCACCGTCCTATATATATATATATATATATATATATATATATATGCATTTGGTATGACTTTATCAAATATTTAATAAAAGAAATTAAAGTCAGTTATTTTTAAATTTTAAAATTTAAAAATTTTAAAATATGCCTCAATGGTAGTAATTTTATTATTATTTTTTAGCTTTACTTATTTATTTTGAGAGAGAGAAGGAGAGAGAGAATTCCAAGCCGTGTCCACATTGCCAGCACAGAGCCCAATGCAGGGCTCAACCCCACGAACCGTGAGATCATGACCTGAGCCAAAACCAAGAGTCTGACACTTAGCTGACTGAGCCACCCAGGCACCCCCAAATCAGTTATTTTTAAAATAGCCTAGTCCAGTGACTAAAATATCTAAGAAATAGTCATCTTTTCAGTTTGGTTCAATTCAGTTGTAGCAGCAGATTTAATTATGCTAGATTAACCATCCTTATTTTTCTTGCAGTCCAGAGCGTATGGGAATATGGTGTTTTCTAAATTGTCTTTTATTTCTCTCTCTTGTTTTAGGTGCCTTTAAGCCCTGCGAGTACTTACTGGGAAGTTGGATGATCCGTCTTACCGTGTGGTTCATTTTCCTGGTTGCAGTGTTTTTCAACCTGCTGGTCATTTTAACCACATTTGCATCTTGTACATCACTGCCTTCCTCCAAACTGTTCATAGGCCTCATTTCTGTATCCAACTTATTCATGGGAGCTTACACCGGCATCTTAACTTTTCTGGACGCCGTGTCCTGGGGCAGATTTGCTGAATTTGGCATTTGGTGGGAGATTGGCAATGGGTGCAGGATAGCCGGGTTTCTTGCAATTTTCTCCTCCGAAAGTGCCATATTTCTATTAATGCTGGCAGCTGTTGAAAGAAGCTTATCTGCAAAAGATGTCATGAAAAACGGGAAAAGCCGTCATCTCAAGCACTTCCGGGCTGCTGCCCTTCTTGCTTTTCTGGGAGCTGCAGTGGCAGGCTGTTTTCCACTTTTCCACAGCGGGGAGTATTCTGCCTCACCCCTCTGCTTGCCATTCCCCACGGGAGAAACGCCATCTCTAGGATTCACTGTAACCTTAGTGTTGTTAAACTCCCTGGCGTTTTTATTAATGGCCATCGTCTACACAAAACTGTACTGCAACTTGGAAAAGGAGGACCTTTCAGAGAACGCACATTCTAGCATGATTAAGCACGTTGCCTGGCTCATCTTCACCAACTGCATCTTTTTTTGCCCCGTTGCGTTTTTCTCCTTTGCGCCGTTGATCACTGCGGTCTCCATCAGCCCTGAAATTATGAAGTCTGTCACTCTGATCTTCTTCCCGTTGCCCGCTTGCCTGAATCCAGTCCTCTATGTGTTCTTCAACCCAAAGTTTAAAGACGACTGGAAGTCACTGAAGCGACACATTACCAAGAAGAGCGGATCGGTGTCAGTGTCCATCGGTAGCCAGGCTGGCTGCGTGGAACAGGATTTCTACTATGACTGTGGCATGTACTCGCATTTGCAGGGTAACCTGGCCATGTGTGACTGCTGTGAGTCCTTTCTTTTGACAAAGCCAGTGTCCTGCAAACACTTAATAAAATCACACAGCTGTCCTGCATTGGCGGTGGGTTCTTGCCAAAGACCGGACAGCTATTGGTCCGACTGTGGCACGCAATCCGCCCACTCTGATTATGCAGACGAAGAGGATTCCTTCGTCTCAGACAGTTCGGACCAGGTGCAGGCCTGTGGACGAGCCTGCTTCTATCAGAGTCGAGGATTCCCTTTGGTGCGCTATGCTTACAATCTACCGAGAGTCAAAGACTGAACTGGTGTGTTTGTAACTGTTTCCCCCATCAACCAAAATCACAGCATTTAGAGAAGAACCCTGGTCTGACCTTTCATCTGGGAAGCACTTCTGGGATCACTGCCTGGTGTGTCACTTAGAAGGAGGAGAAGGGGGGCAGTTGATTTCTGAAACCAGACGTTCTCAAGGAACAAGTGCCTAACCTGTCAGTCAATGGAAAATGCAACGTGCAAGCAATGTGTGGTCTATTTGGAACAGGTTTATAACTTGAAAAATTTTATGTATATCATAGCAATATCATGTTAGGTTTTCCTGATCCATGAGAAGCAGATTTATACCGATCTGAACTAAGCACAAGGTGAACAACAGCTGTTAATATTTTTTTAAGAATATTTTAAAATGTGATTTTATGTAGGTAAGAAAAAGTCTTGCTAATTTTACCTAATGGTTCATCATTAATCTCAGGACAACTTAACTGCAGGGCCAAAAAAGGGATTGTCTCCAGGTAAAACTGTGAGAATAGAAGAGTAGGCATCGCCTGATTGCATTTTCTGGTCCCATCTTTCACACAACAGAATCATAAATTCTGTTTAAGTGATTTATAAACCTAAAACCTGAAGATGTTTTTAAAACAATATTAACAACTGTTAGATTTTAAAAGAATAGCTGAACGTGTGTTTTCAGTGCTCACGCTTCGCTGTGGTGCAAACCCAGTAATTTTGCCCTCAGTGTCTTGTGACCACACTAGGAAAAAGTAAAGGACTCATTGTTGTGTGGGTTTGGTAGATTTGGCTAAACTACTAACTGATATGGGATTTTAATAGTATCTGAGGGACTTGATGGCTCTGTGGAATGTTCTCGTTAAAAAACATTTCTTAGTATCATTGGCTGAGCTGACATTTTCCAATTTTGTTGGTATGTTATCTACATATAGTTTGAATTACGCAGAAAATAAACAGTGGTAAATTATTGTATTAAGTTGGAAGAAATTGGGAGTAATTATGACACAAAGCACTTATAATTATTTCTTAGTGAGCTGGATTCTCCTGAACCTGTGCTGTTACATGGTAGCTTCCATACATTTTCCCCTTACTGTGATTTAAATACGAAAGAGCCTATGCTACAGTTCAGATACTGTGTCCTTGTGAGATAAAACAAATCTGTCATTTAAGAAAAAGAATAAAGCTTAGGCCTGTGTCTTTAACAATTAAAAATTTTACTTGATTCTTATCTATGGACTTTTGACATGTCACTATGTGGAGTCTTAAAGTTATAAATGTTTTTTGAACCATATGCTAAATCAATAGCAAACCCACTGCCATATTAGTTATTCAGGATATACTAAAAAACATTAAGCTAGTTTGCAGTTTAATAGTTAAACTGTATATAATGTGCATATATGAATTTTTATCTTATGTAAATTATTTTTAGAACACAAGTTGGGAAATGTGGCTTCTGTTCATTTCGTTTAATTAAAGCTACCTCCTACACTGTAGTGGCTGCCAGTAGCAGAATGTTAAATTGTGGTTTATATACTTTTTTTTTGCCTTGTAAATAGTCTTGGTTGTACATTGTCAGTGTAATAAAAACAGAATCTTTGTATATCAAAATCATGTAGTTTGTATAAAATGCGGGAGGGATTTATTTACAGTGTGATGTAATTTTGTAAGGCCAACTATTCACAAGTTTTTAAAGTTGCTATCATGTTTGTTTATTTACACATCTGATAAATATTAAATCATAACTTGGAAAAAAATCTAGCTAGAAGTGTTTTTTTCTCCAAAATTCAAGTTACCGAAAACTTCACATTTCATTTAAAACATAGAATAGCAGATACCTCAACTATGTGGTAGATTGTGCTATGCATGTAGTGGGAAACACTATTGCATCTTGAGTCTGAATGATAACTCATGGAAAACAAATTGTGAACTTTAAGAGACTACCATTAATTAGGTCTTTGTTTAAAAGCAAATGATTGGGGATCCTAGCTAGCTTAGCTGGTGGAGCGTGCAAGTCTTCATCTCGGGGTTGTAAATTCAAGCCCCACCACCTTGGATGTAGAGATTACTTTTTTTTTAAATTTTTTTTAATGTTTATTTATTTTGGGGGGGGCACAGTGTGAGTAGGGGAGGCGTAGAGAGAGAGAATCTCAGGGAAGCTCCATGCTGTCAGCACAGAGCCTGATGTGGGGCTTGAACTGAACTCACAAATGGTAAGATCACGACCTGAGCTGAAACCAAGAGTTGGACGCTTAATGGACTGAGCTACCCAGGCATCCTGGATGTAGAGATCACTTTAAAAAACTAAATAATAAAAGCAAATGATAAGTAATCCTTTATGACACCAAATGTAGTCAGTTGCCCAAATGCTTAGCTATAAATATTCACAATCATCGAGCCCTAATTTTACAGACGAGAAAATAGAGGACTTGATGAAATTTAAGTGAATAGCCAAATCCTACACAACAGATAAGAAACCAAACCAGTACCCAATTCTTCTTAATGTGAGACATCAGCTTTTGGTTTTGTTCATTTGTTTTAAACTTAACTTTGTGTCTGGAATTTCCATAACAAAAAGAATAGTATAATTACCCTTCCCATCACCTCAGCCTTCACCTCAGGTACCCATCACCCAACTTTGGCAATTATCAACAGCACATGGTAAATCTTGTTTCATCTGCATCCCATGCACTAACTCGCTCTAATCCATCTGCCCCTTGGATTATTTCTTGTCGTCTATTTACTTATTTTGAGAGAGATGGAGAGCGTAAGCAGGGGAGGGGCAGAGAGAGACAGGGACAGAGAGAATCCCAAGCAGGTTCCACACTGTCAGCTCAGAGCCTGAAGTGGGGCTCAAACTCATGAACTGCAAGATCATGACCTGAGCCGAAATCAACAGTTGGACGTCTAATGGACCGAACCATCCAGGCATCCCTACCCCATGGATTATTTTGAAGTGAATCTAAGACATGTTTCATCTGTAAAGATTTCAGTATGTCTGGGGATAAATTTTTAAAACTTGCCTAATTATTGCTACAAGGCTAACTGGTAATGGTGTTATTTTTGTAACAAAGTCAGATAGGGATTTTTAAGCAAAAGTTACTCTTGTACAAGGTTACAAAGTCAGCAAAAAATAAAAATTTATCTCAACTGTACCATGAAAATGAGTAGTAAGTAGAGAAGTTACCAAAAACTTAAGGGGGGGGAGGCCTTCTTTTGAGCTTATTTATACATGTATATATAATTCTACCAAACTTGATTATGGCTTCTCAGTCACAGTAATGACAAGGCACTGTAAGAAAGGAGACCACAGGACTCAATTATGTTCAAGCCCCAGCACCAATGCCATGGATCTCTTTGGTTCATTATCTCCAGTGTTGCTACAGCACAATGCAGTAGATGGTCATTATGACGATTCTCAAGACATCACGGGAAGGACATAATTTGTTTAGTCAAACATTTTGAGGAGGCAGAAACGTATGACATTTTAGATTCCTATACCAAGAGGTCAAAGTGGAAAAGTTTGGGAGTTTAAATAACACAATTTATCATTTTCCGTTTTCTCTGTCAGGTCCTATGCCAGAAACTTTGAGAATTAATGACACACTAATGACTGGGAGATAGGTTACCTCCCTGTTACAAAGGAGTAAGTTAGGAAAGCCAAAGAGCTTGTTTAAGGGAATCTCATGAGTAAGAAGAAAATCACTGATTCAAATCCAGGTCCCCTTCATACTAACACTTTTATGTTTTTTTCCTCCTCTGCTTCAGGGATGTCAGATTATGTTGGGAATAGCTTGTTACCTCCTATGAAGCCCTGAAGTGGCCCGAGGCCTTTTAATGCTGTTACTGATTCTAGGGAGGTTCTCATAAAAGTCTTAACCAGATCTGCCAATATTGAATAACAGAAGTAACTCAAGAAGTACAGAATGTAAACTCCACTAAGCCCATTTTATTTCTTGATTGACTATATTACACAGTTAAATTGATCTAATTTTCTGCCATTTTCATTGTTTTTACTGAAAATTTTAACAAAATTAACAAAAATTAGCATTCCACTAAAATAGTTTCAACCATGTCATACTTTACTAATTATAGCTACTGCCTTGTGAATTGCCCTTGGTTGCTATTATTTCTGCCGTACCTCATTCTCATGTGTCAAATTTTGCAGATCTAAATTTCATCAAAAATTTTCTATTACTCTTTGGTCAGTAACAAAGTTTGTGTGCTGTCTTAGCCTTTGTCACTTTTCAGTCTGATATTTCTACTAGTAATATGCATCATGAGCTGGACCAAAGCCATATTTATTTACAAGTGTGCACAGTTTTGTCAGCATGAACAAAGCATCCAGGTTTATTGTCTACCACTTCTTCCTTGCTACCGTCATCCCTATTCCCAGTACCTGAAAAGGACAGTGCTCCTTCCGAGGTCTCACCAAAAAAATCATAAAATGCAGATCACATAATATTTTAATACGATGATTCTACACCACAAAAGAATGAGGAACGTGTGAAGGCAGGGCTTTTACTCTATCTTTAGTGCTTAGCACAGCCCCTTGTAAATTAGAAGCTTCAAAAAGACCTCAAAATTCACATGCACCGACACACTAGTTACCTTAAGATGTCAGGCAAACGAGGTGCTACCCAAAACAACGGAAGATTGCCCTCAAAGAGCATGCTTGGATACACTTGGAAACTTGGATAAAGTTCGCTCTCCTCTCCCCATAAAATATGGCTGTGTGCGGCAAGAAATGACTGATCCTTAAAACCCTGACCTGTTAAATATACGGCGGTAGTTTTGGCTTCCGCCTCTTGCTCTGCCTCGCTCAGTGACAGCACATTTCTTGTACTACATGAACAGCAAACGAGGGACGCGCCCCGCACGCCGTCAGCGGCGGGCAGAGGGAGGCCCTGGCGCAGCAAGCCGCGCTCCGCAGGCGGGGACAAAGCCCTCGCGGCCTCCACGCGTCGCCATGGCAACGCGAGGTCTGCGCCCGCCGGGATAGGCCGGCCCGGCGCGCGCGGGGCCTGCTGGGAGAGCACGTCCCCGCCGCCACTCTGCCGGTTTGAACTTGGCGGGCCCGATGTGGGCGGCCGGGCTGTTGGGGGCTGCTTCGCCGGCTTCCTCGGCCGGCTGCAGGTCCAGGTCTCGGCCTTCCTCCGGCCCCTTCTCCGACCTCATGGCGGGCGCCCCGGGGCAGGGGCCGGAGACGGTGACGGTCTGCTCGCCGTCGCCGCCGCTGAGCTGCAGCAATTCCACCATGTCACTGTTGTCTCCCCTTGGCCACCAGAGCTTCCCGTTTGACTACGACGATGGCGACGGGGAGGATGAGGAGGACGTGGAGGAAGATGCTCAGGATTTAGAAGCTAAGGTGGCGAACCTGAGAGGAGTGGAGTTACAGGGGTGCGTCAGGTAAACCCTGGGCTACGGGCCGGTACTGCCCCTCTCAAGATCCCTTAGACCCTTGCAAGCTCCTTCTTCTGGCGGCCAGACACCCTCCTGGCGCCCGCCTCGGGGCCGGGGCCGTGCAGGCCCCGGCATTCTGAGGTGCCGCTGCTGTTTGCACGTAGAGTTGTGGGCCAGTTCTCACACATGCCTGCAGATTTTCTAGGATTCTAAATCTCTTTAACTGAGAATATGATCGCTACAGTCCCTGTGCAGAAAAACGTACGTAGTCTCAAAAACACAAAATTTTCCACCATTTCAGGAGTTTCCTGAATATTCACAAGTCAGATTGTGGACACCAGAACTCTTGTTCAAACGCTTAACACCAAAATTGTTTCCTGCGCCTTGGTAGTACCTGGGGTTATTTTGAAAAAGATCTGATTGCCAGTGAAGGAGGTTGTAGTAAAGCAGTATTGCTTTGGGGGCCATAAATGAGGAGCTGAAACATAGATTAGCAATGCCCATCCCCGCATCCACAGACAAGGCTGGGTCTGGTCTGACCACTCACCCAACAGAATAGAAATCACTGAGTCAGTGCTAGAACCAAAGAGATTATTAAAATCACCTTTTTTTTTTTTTTTTTTTTTTTTTTTTTTTTTTTTTTTTAATTTCTACAATTACTCAACAAACATCTAGTTTGTGCCACATACTAATCTAGATACAGGGGACCATAAACAAGATAGACATGGCCTCCACTCTCACGAAATTAAAGCCTACATGAACTTATTGTACTCATTTTACAGATAACAAAACTGTGGCTCGATACAAGTACAAAGTGGGATTCAGAAGCACCCACCTAGCTATTAGCAGAGCCAGGCCTAGCACTGAGGTATACCGATCAGGTTCTGTCTTCCCTATGCGACATGCCTATTATTATGAGCTGTATAGAAACAAGAACAAAGGGCCTATCCCTGCAGGAATAACTTTCTGAGACAGGCTGAGTAATGCAGGTTCCTTCTGGAGTAGGCTCGTGCATCATCTTTAGAACACACTCACAAGTTTCTGATTATCAAGCTGTGTAAGGCACAATACAGGAGATCTCAGAAATACAGGCCAGAGAACGTATGCTTCATGTGTAAGCAGCAAGGTAGCCCGCTTGAGGGTAAGGCCGTCATACCCAGAATGCGTGGATGGAATATGGAACCATATGAGATGACTGCTATACACAGTCACAGCAGTGAGAAAGTAAAAGTAAGTACATTGGGGGAATGGAGGTCAGTAAGAGTAACCAAGCAAGCCACTTGTCCAGACTGGTTGTAACAACAAGAAACAGGCCTCTGATCAACCTGATAGTGGTTCTTGATGATAGAGTTTCGGGAGTCCATTCTCATGTGGGTCATCATAGGCATTCTTCAGGATTGAGTTGGTCCCAAGGATTTTTGAAATAATTGTAAGGCTTTGGAAACTACCTTCTGAGTCTAACCAACAAGGCTGAGCAGTGTCGACACAGTTTAGCAACCTATGGAGGAGCGATGGTTATCAAAACCACAGAGCAGCTACTGAGACCTTGCGTTAGCTTCCAGGAGTCAGAGCCCTAATCAAGTGGAGCTCAGGAGAGGAGCCAGACATGTTTTATGTCTCACTTTAGCCAAAGCCCAAACAAGCTGGTAGCATCCCAGGACTAAGGCTTCCCTCCTTATCGCTGCCATATCACAGCTCATTCCCTATGAACCAAAGGGAATAGGTAGGATATGGCCTGGAAGGAATACACAACTTGCCAGGCCTTGTGGGTAGCAAGTGGCAGATGCCTATTGGGTGTTCAATAAATGTGCTGAATGAATGCCTAATTCCCACTCCTAGAGAACATGTAGATACAGTGGCTGTCTTCAAATGCTTCAGAAAACCTAGCATTTCCTTTCAGGAAAGTAAGTGTTTACAAAATTTCCTCATTTGTCCTCCCTACCTCCAACCTTCAGTTGGTGCCCTGGACAGTTTGGGGGTGAGGTGATGAGGAGAGCAGGCAGCCTGAGCCATAGTCCCAGCCCCGTTCCAGCAGTGGGCATTCTCTCCATGGACCAGGGAGTACACCCAGAGCTGTGTGGGATTGTATGCCTTGTGCCCATTGTTCATCTGCCACAGGGATAGACTGAGGCATCAGGTGCGCATGGTGAGATGAGCTCTGGGTATTTTAGGTGTTCATAGAGCCGTGCTTAGAGGATGGCTTCGAGCGTGTTGGACGGGACTGAGATGAAGCTCACAGTTGACTTCAGAAAAGATACTGAGAAGTATTTTCCTGGAGTCTTTCATCATATGCCTTGGGCCTTCTATTTATTCACCTTTATCCTGGTTTTTATATCACTCTGTGCATTAGGAAAACCATGCCTTAATAAATAAATGTCTTAGTTGTAAAAAGCTGCTTATTAAGCCTCTTGATTATGGGTAGAGGTGTAGTGTGTATGCTGTACATTTTGTAGTGTATATGATACCATTTGTTAAAAATGTTAAGACAAGACATTTAATATTTAAAGTGTCTTTTTTTTTTTTTTTTTTTTTTTTTTTTTAAGAAAAACACTGATCTCACCCTTTCAACAAATATTTCTTAGAACCTTACTGTATTCTAGGCCCTAAGCTAGACTCTTGAAATAAAAAATGAGTTAAAACATGCTTTCTGTTTGTAGGGAATTCATAGCCTATGGCAGAGATGGACAAGTGACAGACAGCCCAAGGCACTTAGTCCAGATATTTTGCAGTTTTACTATGAGGGAATAAAGATTAATGCCTGAATTGAATGGTTTTTTTTTTTTTTTAATGTTTATTCATTTATTTTGAGAGAGACAGAGAGGGCGAGAGGGGGAGGGGCAGAAAGAGAGAGAGGGAGAGAGACTCCCAAGCAGACTCTGTACTGCCAGTGTGGGAGCAGACACAGCACTCCATCCCACGAACCCAGAGATCATGACCTAAGCCAAAATCAAGAGTCCAGACGCTCAACCGACTGAGTCACCCAGGGCCCCCCCTGAGTTGAATCTTGAAGGGATAGTAGGATTAGCCGAACTCCTCCTCCTACAAAATGACACCCACCAAATGCTCACTGAGTGCCCAGAATCTGTGTTAAGTGCCGTAGCATAGATTGTCTCATGCAGTAGCACCTGTGAGGGAGCCTCTGCTCTCATGTCCATGTGCTGGATGAGAACAGAGGATTCAGTAGGTTCAGAAATGTACTTAGCTAGGAGGAAGCAGGTAGAGATTCATCCCAGACGTTGTATTTCCAAACCAAGCTTTTGCATGGCTCGCCCTGGGGAGGTGGAGGCATTTCAGTTTTAGACGAAACTGCGGAGCACAGGGGCATGGCGCATTCATCAGTCTGCTTCAGTGCGACAAGACTGGTAGGGTCCAGAGCAGCCATTGGCAAAAGAGGCTGGGAAGACAGGTGGGAGCCAATCCGTGGGTGTCAGGCTGTAGAGTTTGGATTTCATCCTGTGGGCAGGAGCCACAGAAGACCCTTGAGGTAGGGAGTGACATGATCGCATTTGAAGGCTGAATCTGTCCAGAGTTGTGGAAAATGGTTTGAAACGGAGGCAGAAAGGCCGGCTGTGTCCACCCCGTGGTGGTAAGGTTGGGAAAGAGGAAAACGGCTTGAGAAAATTGAAAGAAGCAGAAGAGACATGACTAGGTAATGGCGTAGGTGTGGGTGGTGGGGGCACTAATGTGGACAGGGAACAGGAGGAGGAACATAGGTCTGGGTGTCTGGCGTGGCTGGCTGGGTGGCTCTTGGTCCTCTTCACTGAGGTAGGATTTTAAGAGAAGTAAAATTTTTCTCAGTGGAGAGGGTAGAAGAGGATTAGAAGTGTTTGCCGCTGATTGATATTTAGGTGGAGCTGTCTGTCAGATGGTTGGAAATACGTCTGTAGCTCAGGAGAAAGATCTGGCCTGGGATGACTGATGTGGGCACCATCCGCACCCGGTGGTAGTTGAAACTGTGGGTGCCGATGAGGTGTTTCTTCAAGACGGAGAAGGAAACGCTCATATGAGAAATAAAGAACACATCAACAGTGTCTCTTTCCTGCCAGAATACAAATTGCATGAGGACATGGATGAATGAATAGCAGGAAAAAAAATGAGTAAGCCGAAGCTGTGAGGTAGAAGTTGTGCAGAGCAGTGGGCAAGGCAGTTGGTTGCCTGAAGCAGGAATGTTAAAGAGACAGAGGCACTGAGTCTATAAACACCTAGTCTTTAGAGCTGCCTTGGGTCCTGAACAACCTTTCTCTCCTTGGGTCCTAATGGTTCCGCTTTTGCTAAGTTTTATGAGGCTTGTGTATCTGGCTGAGGCCCAGTATTTCTCCTCCCCTCCCCTCTTCTCTTGAGCATGAATGAGTACTTATTTTTCCATGTACCTAAAAAGAGACAGACTGACAGAGGTGCATAGTGGAGATGGAGGTCACTAAACTGGGGAGTCATAAACACCCTGTCTGAAGAATGGCAGAAGGGAGTCAACCAGAACATTAAAGAATATAAGAACCATATATATTTTTTGGTAACTTTAACAGAAAAGTTGAGAATTTCTGGGGCAACTGGCTGGCTCACTTGGTAGAACACGGGACTTGATCTTGGGTTGCAAGTTTGAGTCCTACTTTGGGTGTAGAGATTACTTTAAAATCTTAAAGAAAACAAAATTCTGTTTACCCTTCACCCAAAATCCTTAATTAAAAAAAAAAAAACAACAAAAAACCTTTTTTGTTTATTTTGAGAGACAAAGCATGAGGGAGGGATAGAGAGAGAGGGAGACACAGAATCTGAAGCAGGCT